TGTTTTTCTTATCAAGGGGTGCATTTTTTTCTGTTGTGACCAGCGGGTCAAACGCTTTTTACTGCTGGGCTTTGGTTTGGGTTTTTGGCTTGGCAAAAAAATTGGGGTTGCCACTTAGTCCTACCCCGATAAACCGCCACCCCCGTTAAACCGCCAAATTTGTCCTGGACAAACGTTGGCGGTTTAACGAGGTTCGACTGTATATATATGTCCTACAAAAATATGCATTACAAAACAATTAATGGTAAACCTCAGCTTTAATCGGACTGCAAAGGTATTTCTAATTTGCTGAATCGTTACAACCCAAATAATTTATGACCTTAAAAGCAATAATATAATTAATCGAAATCCAAGTTGTACATTAATCCAGTTTAAATAATTCGCACTCTATTTTTTATAAACCGCGACGAGATACTATCAAAAAATACACCGGTCAGTGGACATTGGATACATTTTCTGATTAGATGCGACACCTAGGTTCAATCATTACGTGTAGGAAAAGAGCTTCATTTCGCTTATCACAGTGTTATGTTTCACGGTACAAAAATACAGAGTACCTAAAGGTTTGTAGACAGTATTGTATGTGCTTTACTTAATCGAACTGTTCAAATGTTTCTTCTCAAATGTTACGTGTTATCATTTGATCAAAACAAATTTCTCAGTTTAGTTCCCGAATGATCATAGCTCTAAAAAATAAAAAAATTCCACGGATGAAACGTCCTTCAAATCTTACAGTCAATTTCAAGTCAGCATACTCAGAACCACAGTACTGTATATATAATACGTGCTGGTATTCAATAACTTCCTCACTCCAACCATGTGCGAAATTAAAGTTCCACTGTTGACATTCCATTCTGTTCTCGTACACTACTGTAACTATTTGAGGGTTATTTCCATGAAGGAGGGCAAACATATGGTCCAGAATTCATACAAACCGCATTATCCAATTAATGGTGTTTCATATGATCGGAAAAGATACTGCTTTCAAGTTTATGCACGCAGAATCGAATATGGCAATGGAACATTAGTATAGGTCCCAAAACACAATCTGAGTCGTGCTGTGAATGATGGAAAACCGATTTTTGGTGTCCGAAGCAATAATAGAAATGGGAAAAAGTTTTGTACCTGCACAGTATCATCGCTGATTATTGATAAAGAATTATCTAAACCTTTCTTTAATAAGCTCCAGAATCGAACGCAGTTGACACCCAGAAATTGGCGGTGCTTCAGCTTCACTGCATCTCTGTTTGCCAATATTGTCAATGATCGACAGTAAAATGGCCCAAGTGAAACACGTTTTCCGAATAATGCTTCTCACCGGCGCCATCCTTTTCCACCTCCTACATTTTTCATCGTCAACTCCTTTACAAGGTATTTATTCTGTTGATTTCAACGGAATTTCGGGAACAATGGTGAATAGTGTCATATTCCTATATTGTATTTCTATATATGGATGAGCTTAAAATTAAATCCTGATCAAAAATTGGGCTAAATGTGGATTGAAGTGTACCTGATTTCTTTACTCAACACATAGGAAATAGAGAACGGAGAATGGGTTGTTTATTAAGACCGTAATGTTTAGTGTAACGGTTCCGTAACTGTACTGTAACCGGGACTTTGTAACCCCTTTGTAACAAAACCACACCCTCTATGCCCCAGCATTAGAAGGGACATTGGCAGTGCATTGAGATTGCATTGCCAATGTCCCACAAAAATGCCTGTTAAATATGGCAATATATTGCCTGCTGTTGAAATGCCATTTCCATTACGCCATTTCCAAGGTAATCCCAATGGCATTGCCCCAATGTCTGACAGCAGTAAAAAAAAAATTTGTTTTCCCATTCATCTGCTGCTATTTCCTTCCATCTTTTGCCTTCTTTGTGCTGGATTCTTTCCTGTTTCTTCTTTCCTCTATCTGCATTCTCATGTTCACAATATTCTTTGCTGTTGAAGGTTCCTGATGATGCTTCATGGTTTTGAACTGGGGCCATCTGGGTGAGATTCAGTCATCTTTACATCTTGCTATGCACTCAGAAGCCAAGTCCAATGCAAATAGTTAAGCTACTTATGAGGGCTCTAACAAAAGTTCTTGGAATAGAAATGAAAATGACATATAATTGAGCTGAAAACAATTTATTCTTCAGGGAAAACATATTTAACATGGCAAGAGTTGCCTTCAGGTCTTCCAAGAAGACCTGGAGGCAACCCTTGGTATGAATGACACATTGACTTGAAGAATTTGGAGGGGAAAGCTGAACTGCAACAACAACAAAAACTGCAGGAAGGGCACCTCATCTTTTGAGTGGAGAGCAAAACTCTGCCAGGGTGAATTTTGCAAAAAATTAAAAATATTGTCAAATAGGGCTGATTTTTTTGTGTGCCAACAAATATGTTTTCCCAAAAGAATAATTTTCTTCTTTAGGGACACAATGGGATTCATGCTGCCAATGAAAGAAAACCAATTGATGGTTTTGACAGCAATAATAGAAAAGCAAAAATTTTTGCACAGTTCATTGATGAAAACATATAAAAACTTTTCTTTCAGTACCAGAATCGAGCACAGATAATGCCAGAAAATTGGCCATGCTTCAATACATCTGTCTTTGCCAATATTAGGAACTATATATACAGTAACGATGGCAAAAGTGACGCACTTTTTTCTCATCATGATTCTTGCCATTACCATCCTGTTTCACCACCTCAATTTTTCATCGTTAGCTCCTTTACAAAGTATTTTATTTCACTGATTTCAACTGAATTTTGAAAACAACCACCAACTGTAACACTGCGGGTGATGACACTCTTGTCGGGGTTGTCCTGTAAAGGCACTCTATATGGTTCTTGATGTACCAAAGGTGGGGCTTCCGTAGTAATACGTGAAGAAAACCGACCGAGACCGTTGGAAAGGAGACGGTGGACCTGCACCGCCACACTGCATGCCAACAAAAATGCCAACAATAACATGGGCATCAGGTCCAAAAGCAGCAGCAGTAGCTCCTACAACAAAAGACCCAGCTTCAATTCCTGCAGCAGTTCCACAACCAACATGCCCATCAGCTGTTCCTGCACCAGCACTTCCACCACCTACAGGTCCAGCAGCAGCTCCTGCACCAATACCTACAGCAGGTGCATGAGGTCCTGCATTGCCATGGTAATGAGACCTAAAATGGGAGAAATTAGTATGTTGCAGTGCAAGACCCATTGGAATACTGAAGAACTACTGTATGCAGCTGCTTACTTTGACAGGATCTGATCAACTTTGAGCAAAAATTGAATGTGAACAGGCATTCAAGTTATGTTGATTTTTTTGTCTGGATGAGGTTGACTCAAATGCTCTGATCCACATGATGATTTTTTCTTGAAATGCACCATTTTATTGCAATTTGATGTTGGGTTTATTGTTGTTGTGTCATATTTTCCTTTCAGCATGGATTGCTGAACCACTATACTGTTTTTGTCTTTCATCAACGATCAATTAAATTCAAAGCCGCTCTGTGAAAGCGGCCTGAAAACTGCGAACCTTTGATTGGTTCTCATCATGGATGCACAGATTCAAGAAATTCATCTTGCAGTACATGTTTGACCTGCATGATGCGACTTTTTCCTTCAAGTCAAAAAGTTCACCCAAAATTCCTCAAATCCCATTGATTTTACCTGGTAAATTCTCTATATATATAGAGGACACTGGCATTTATTTATAAAATCGCCCTTTTACTTCAGCTGTTCATTAGGGACTGGCCACTACAAAAAGAAAAGATTGGGCACATATGAAAATGGCAAATAATAATACTGAAGGAATCACTGATCTGTAATCGTAAAATCCCAACGTTTCCTTTCATTAATATTGCATTTGGTGTTTGGTCTGAAAAGAAAAAATTTGGATTCAATTACACGGTTCTTACAACTGCTCACAGCTTGAAAATAATAATGCCTACTTTTGTAATAGAAAAGTATTAGAGAACTACATAAAATATAAAATCCTCTGACAGGTAATAACACACATGTGGATTAATTCAAATTACTAAATACTCGTGTAAAAAAGAACAAAAGAAACTGCAAGGTGCGAATCAATGCATCAAAGTGAAATGCTTGTAATGATGAAAATTCGCATTTGTCTATTTGCCGAACATCCCAGTTTCACACCCAACCTCTATATTAGTGAATGTACAGTACATTTCACTTGATGATGAACACAGCTGTTGTTTTTGTCAAATTTGAAATTTTAGGAACAAGAAAAAAACCAATTCTGTTATTGCCTCACTAACAATGTCTGTGTTCATACGAAATTGCCATAGGCTCAGCTCCACCATGCCTTTTCCTCATAAACAGCAGGAGAATTACCCCATTTGGCAACTTCTCCCAATAAGTGAAAAATATGTACTTCAGTGATAGTTTGAATAAATAGACATTTAGCACGTTCCAAACGTGTTCCGGGGTATGCCTCAGTCTGGTGACCAAAGCATAACTTGGTGTGCCATATATATATATAAGCAGGGAACAAGAGGGGTATTGTGGTCGAGAAAGAGTCAGTGAGTGTCAAAGACAGGAGGCAATAAGTGGGGTTTTCTTTTCAAATATCCACAACATTTTAGCTTTCATTAATTTTCTTTAATGTTACTCAGTATAGTGCTTTATTAATGGATCATCGTTAGTAAGATAATGGCCCTCACGACAGACAGCTCATTTCGTTTGTCCAAACTGAACAACAGTTTTTCTCTTGATCAGTGAATCTTACTCCAAAGTTTTCAATCGCAATTATCAGTAGATTGTCTATAAAGAGGAATTTGATAATTTTAACTGAGGTGATTGCTACACTTTCTCTCATATTACATACTGTGGATTGATATTTCAATTCTTGCATTATGCGTTACACATAGAGCATATAGGGAGATTTTGATTGGTTTAATATGTTTTTTAAATGACATGAAACTGGCACATGCAATTGAGTCATGATCAGAAAATATTCCAGGTGATTTCAAATTCAAATTTGTGCAAGAGAATGGTACAAAATTTCTTTGTGAAGAAGTGAAAATAGAAGCTGAAAACTATCGACTTGAGGGAACTTCATGACTAGCCAAAAAAAAAAGGAATAAGAATAAATCTGCCCTAAGATCATGACCATGGTTTCAAAATAGGGACACAACTAAAATTTTCCAACAAATGGAAAGTTTTATTTTTCAAAATGCTTGTATCTTTCGGAAGAATCAAGCTTTTAACATTCAGAAAATCTGAAGAAAGTTTTAAGGCATCAAGGCATAGAAAGAATTGTTCTACTTTTATTGCTTTTTTAGCTCCTATTTGTGCCAAAAGAAATGATCAAGTGTGGTTTCTTTCTGCACTGATATTTTCCGCATCTTGAATTTGACAAAAATCGTTTTATTCAATTTTTGGGCAGTTTTTTCTCGTATTTTTAACAGAATAACCAATCAAATGCCGTATACAGTTGACCCTGGGTTACTTGAACCTCCCTCAGTCAAATACCTCCCTGTGTTGAATTTTCTCTATTCCCTGGCTGAATATCCTCAGTAACAAAATATTAAAAAGCTCTGCAACTCAAAGCATTTTCCTCTATAAAACCTCCGTGGCTTGAATTTTCCCTGGCCTTTTGGCAATCATTTTCTTGAGACATAAAAGAAAAGAGCAATAGAAAACTAACTTGATGGATTTTGAAATGAAATGAAAGACTATATGTTGGGGCAAGTGAATTCCTGCCTCCAAGAGCAGCATGCAGTCAACGCATTCCAGAAACCATCTAAGAAGACCCAGAATATCACAATCTACATATCCTACAATTCCTGTGGGTTTTTTTTTTTTCAATTTTCCCCCAACAATAAAATTACTTGTTTCTGTACCTCAGAACCTCCCCAAGTCAAATTGTTTTTCAGTCCCTTAAAATTCAAATTAACGAGGTTTGACTGTATTTCCATTGAAATCAAAGGAGCATAAAGGCATTTGAACATAGAGACATGATCCAAGCACCAAATACTGTACGTCTGAAAATCAAAGGCCCCGCGCAATTATACTCAGTGTAGCTATCAATGATGAAAATTTCTTTTTGATCTGCAATTTTAAAAGCTATAAATACGCTCGTCTCCGCAATTGCGAAAGGGAATATGAAATACTCTTCTCTGGTGAGTTGTGGCATGTTTTTTTTATTAATAAATTAATTAGTCCTAGTAATTTTCTTTTCGTCAAGAAAGAAGAATGAAAAATAAAAACAGCAACAACAAAACAGAAGTTCTGTTCGTTTCAGGTCGAAAGCGAGCACCTGCACCTATTCCCTGGGTGGTTTGAACCTATTGAACCTCACCGACGAGGTTTCGGAGTCCTTTGGCAGTGTTACCGCAGATTCCATCTTCGTGCACCCAGACTACCACCCCGAAAATGAGCAATCCAATAATCTTGCAATTTTGAAATTGAGTCAGCCTGTGACATTCAGTCCTCAGGTGCAGGCCATTCGTTTGTTCAACGGGAGTTCAACAGATGTATCTGCAGGCTCCGTCACTGCGTATGGAATCCCTGGTAATGAATAGTTCACACTCATCACTACATCCTGCTGGGCAATAATTCAAGAAATGAAGACTTGAACATTCCGGTATCACAGTGAATGAATGCATTTGGTGGATTGAAAACTCTGTTCATTCCTGCCAAAATTCATCTCTTCCCAAAGCGATTCAAAATCAGGACGAAGAACAACTTTGAAAATCTTGATATCAATATCACAATCAACTTTGTAAGATGGACCAGTTTGTAGATTGGATAAAACTGAATCCTGGAGCAAGAAGCACACTCCTTTTTGAAGGCTCCCGAATAATGCTCTGCAATAAAGAATCAAAATAAAGGAAAAATTATGCTTGGCTTCTATACAAGATTTTCCCTCAAATTATTATTCAGAATTTTCCAATGTTTTTAGAGCACTGACATATGATACTGGTGCATTCTCTCTTTCTCTCTACCAAAAATTCAAAGGACCGGAAAAATGTGTTGTAAATAAGAGCCCATGTATTTGTGTAACACGGGGCAAGACCTTTATTTTCTTGAAAATAATTCACACATTTTTTGTCACTTGTATCGAGTCTGTATCACATGGGCGGCAGTCACCTGTTTTGAGATATGGACACTGGGTTGCTTTTTTTTATGGGTGACACCCGCTTAAAGTCACCTGTTTCCCAATACCGGAGTGAAACCTACATAGGGATACAAGTGATGGTTAGCGATGAAACACCATGCTATTTTCCCCAAACTGCCATGGCACATCCCCTCAAAACACTGCGCCATTTCCCCACAATCTGCAGTGCTAAATCCCCTAAAATGCTTTGCTGCCTCCCCAAAAATACCATGCCACTTCCCCCCCCCCCCCCCCCCCCCCCCCCCCCCCCCCACCCCCCCCAAAAACCCCCCCCCCCCCCCCCCCCCCCCCCCCCACTCCTTTGATGAGGCTGTTGGATGGTTCCTTAAAAAGTTTTTCTCTTTAACTCAGTCATAAATCAATATTTTTTAAACTTCGAAAATATAAAAAATAAAAGAATTTCAGTGGACTTCTGGAGCTATTTTTTTCATATTGAAACTGCTTCTATAGAAAACAATTACAAAGAGTTGATAGTTATGAACTGGTGAAACATAGCATGTCAGTACTATTTTGTAAAAAATTGGAAAGGGGAATTTTTTTCAAAGCCACACAGTGTACAGACATTTTAGGAGAGAAAATCACATACTGTACATTGACAGTAAATCACACACAAGGACAGACAATCTCCCACACAGACATACACCTAGACACAAACATTCACATGAAATATGCACAAGGAAAGTTTTCAAGGATTTTAAGTGAGCCCCACAAATCCAGAGCACACCAGTCAAATCACTAAGCTACACAGCCAACATGTTGTATCCTAGTCAAAGGAAAGAGCTACATCAAACCATTGATGCTCTAGTTCTGTGTGCGATAAATGCAATAAAAATACATCAGCCAAATACATCAATAACTTGCATCAGAAACAATTATAAAGTGAGGTTTTGATTAACAAATACACTGGCTTATGAACTTTTTGGTTAATTATCTTTTGGATTTGGCCTCAGCAGGCTTGGCAGCAGCCTTGGCTGAAGAACCCTGACTTGGTTTAAAATCGTTGCTTAGTTTACGACTGAGTTTTTAAATTTTTACAAGAATTTCAAAGAATTGCCTGGGATTTCCTGCCCAACACAATTTTTTTCATGGATTGATGAAAGTTTTTCAATCTGAAATTCTGCATTAAACAGTTCAAAATAATATTTTAAACTTTTGATTTTTAAAAACGTTTTTGAGCCAGAAAATTACACAACGTAATATATTGAGGTTAACAACCAGCCCAAATTTCAAAAGGGAAATCTCTGGTGTTGTTCCTATTTAGCTTATATGATTGGAAGCCTTCCCACAAATATACAGTAAAATCTTTAAATTCTACAAATGCATTCATGGGCATCCAAAAGTAGTGAGTACTTTCCCCACAAATAAACAAGAACTAAAATCTTGGTAATCTGAAAATTAGTTCATGGGCAATGTAAAAAGACTGCAGTGGGGCTTTCCAAGATTTTTCTTTCCTACAAATCAAGCAAAGTTGAAATATATGAATGATAGATTTGGCAACTTCTTGACTTTTAATTTTGTTGATTAAGATTGAGAATCATTGCATGAAAGAAGTATTCCTAGTTTTAAATTCTATATGCTTTACTACAAATTAAGAGATTTCAAGAACATACAGAGGTTATTTCACTCTTGCACATCTGGAGAACTCTGACAATTTTGAAAATTTTAAAAATACACAAATTCTCATCATGATGAACATTTGCTAACTTCAAAAAATTTTTATAACGTTTTCCTGGACTATGTTGTGTCAAGAAATAATTGCACAGCCTGTGTTTCCATCTCATTTTATTCCATGCTACAAACTTGTCGCAAAAGTTTAAAAATTGAAACCTTGTGATGCATATTTTTGTCTTTCATGTATGTTGGAAATTTTAAATCTTTTTGAAAATCAGTTTCCTTCCAGTAAAGACTGCAAAGCTTTCTGTGAGGTTGATTTGACAAGGTGTTGTACTTTCCTTGAAATGTTTCTAATACATTTTCCCAAGAAAATTTTCAAAATGTTTGCATCCAATTGTTCTTTTTTCAATTGATTGGAAGCTTGCATGGAAAACATCTAGAATTTGAATTAAGTTTCTCAATCATCTTCAAGTGTTATTTTCTGAAAGCCTATCAGCCATTTTTGATGAGGGAGGTTTTTGCTGGGAAACAGCATTGTACAAATTTTATTTGGAATCCCAGAATAGAAAATGACTTACTCAAGATTTTTTGCAGAGTATCCTTTTTTGTACAAAAAGGTATTATTTAACTTTCTGTTTGCCCAAAAAGAATATCTACAAGGTGGAGTAAATAAAGCATACAATAATTGGCAGGTGCTGCCAAGAATATGCGCAAACTTGTTTCCACACTTTTGAATCACACATTTTTACAAAAATCCAATTTTGACAGCACAAGAATAATTTCCAGCAACAGATTTCACAATAAATCAAGTTTTGCAATCAGGAAAAGTTTGTGCAGAGTTTTCCTAGTGAAGGTTCTTGTAAATAAGTTGCCAAAATGATGTGTGTTTTGGTACAGTGACAATTTGGGTCATTCTGATGATGCTGGTCTATCCATTCATTGGCTTTTATCCATTTGTACACCCCCAGTTTATTCTGGGGGTTTGTTGTCAGCAATGTCAAAGGACTTCTGCCAGATCCTGGTAAATTCAGCCCAACATTTGAAGGCCAATTTATTGGAACACGGTACATTAAAAATCTATTCCCCAAAACTTTTTTGGAGAGGAAAAATATGGTGAGAGCAAATTGCCCTCTCTCAGGCAAATTTGCCACAGATCTTCAACATTTTTTTGTGGCAAACTCAGATTATGAAGTAAAGAATCGAAGTATCCAAGTTTTGTCAGGTAATTCAGATCCTCATAAAAGCAAAGGACCTCTGCCAATTTTCAGGGGGACTATTCTTTTAATGGCTTAACTGCTGCCAAATGGGTTTTCCATAAATCTTTTTGGTGCAACAATCCTCATAGGCATGCCTTTATGAAATATAATCCAAAGTCTCAAAAATGTGGAAGAGCCAATAAATTGTGTTGAAAACAAGACACAAGAATTGGCTCAGTCAAGTAATTCTTCACAAGCAGTTCACTATATAGGGGGGCAAATAATGTAAATATTGGCTCCAGCAACTACCCCCTTTGTGCTCAGAACATTGCAAGCCCAGCAATAAAAAAGGGTTTTGCACACAGGTCACAAAGGAGAAGACGCAGGGCTTGCAAAAAAGAGTCCCTTTGACAGCTGGTGACATATAGGTGACATACTGGGACTGTGTCCTTTATTACTACATTGTCAATCCATTTTTCTGTGAGAACTCTTACACAAAGGTGTACAGCATCCAAGTCAGTCCATCTTTTTCCCAAACAAAACACCTACCGGAACACCAAGACAAGGGCATTTACCAACTCAGACCTGTCTTCATGAAAACAACAGAGCAAGTTTATAAAAACCTGCCATAAAAATCAATGCTCATCAATACCCAGACAAACAAGGAAATCTTTGTAAATATTTTTGAATTCATTTCAATGTTGTGCCAAGTTTCAGGATGTTAGGCACAACAGTTGAAAAAGTTTTGTGCCAGATTCTGAGTGTGTGTATACTGACCCTTCCTCTTGTAGGAAGTTCGTTTCAATTGGGCTTTGTTACCATGGAGGTACAACCAAGGTCAACCTGCACATCTTATTGGACCTGTTCTCCTGACCCTTTCTACCAATCTTCACGCATTTGCCTCATCCAACCAAGGCAGAATGTCACCTGTGAGGTCAGTGTGTTGACCTCATCAATATTTACAGCCACACAAAATCAGCAGTACCTGCATGAAAAACGCTTTGTGCAAAGAAATATACTTAGTCTAATATACTAATATACCTAGTCTATATTGAAAAACATTTGATTCCAGTTTTAATTTTGCAAAGGTATTTTGTAGTTGCTCCTCTTCTTTGATTTTGTATGGACAAGATGACCAGTGTATGCAAACTTTACCTAAGTGTAGCAAAATTTCCCACATACTGGCAAGTTACTTGGACCTCTGCAGGTCTGTTGACCATAGGTTGGGAACACTGGTCTAGAATCTAGATAACATTATTCCTCAACCCATAGTATGTGGACAAATGACAGTCTGCAGAATAAGCGTTCTTGCTTGGCTGCAGGAAATTTTCTGCAGCATATTGAATTTATTGAAATTAGCAATGGAGTCTCTTACCTATATTCAGAATTTTGCAAAGATAATTGCAGAGTGGAAATTATCTGACAAAAAATAAAAGTTGGACTTTCTTTCAACTAAACATTCAGAAAACTTTTGCATGTTGAAATGATTTTTTTCTTCATTTTTTCATCCTGAGGAACCTTTCTTCAAGCACACCTTTCTAATTTTTGAAATTTATTCCTTATATAGCTGCTTATTTGTGTTTAATGTCATACAAAATTTGCAGAACCTTCTTAAATACCTGCTATAAACTCTTTCAAGCAAAACTTTTTAGATGAGTCTGCAAAAAATTATAGAACTTTGCTGATCTGCAGAAAAATTTTGTGCGGGGGGAGATTTGCCAGATGGGGGTCCCAAAAAGGTTTTTGAACAATGATCTAGAACAATTTTCTCTGTATCATGCATTTTTCTTCTGGCCTGCTGGTCCAAGCACAGGATTCTCTCCCCATGCAATAAGGGTTCTCTGCAGCAAAATTATCTTGGTGAAATTAATTTTTTCCAGTCTCTTGAAGTTATTTGTTGATAGTCCATGTGTATGTGTACTTTTTGTTTGTATGCAGGACAATATTGGAGGACAGTTTGTGTTTGGAACAGGTCCATCTGCAGCTCTTGTTGGTGTAATTTCATATGCAGAAAGTTTTGATGCTTTCAAGTGCGGAGTGGCAGAAGTAACAACAACAATATCACCAACCCAGGCATCATCAACCCAAGAATCATCAACCCAAGAATCATCTACCCAAGCATCATCTAGTACAGCCACAACTGCATTGACAAGTACTGCAAGTGCTACAACAACCAGCACAAAAATGAAATGGGGAAGAGAGGATTCCACACACTGGGATGATGGAAGATGTTTAAAAGAGATCTTCATGCACTTCCTGCATTTGTTTTGGGCCAAACTTGGGCTATTGTGTCCCCATCCAGAACCACTAGAGCCACCAGTTAAGACTCATACCACTGCACTGAGAAATAAACGTCTCTCTCAGATACGAGTATGTAGCAGAGCCGTAGCAACTGCAGTAGCACCATATATTCCCTGGATTGAATCCATCATAAATGCAAATTACAACAGCACAACTATTGGTCCAGCTCTTTTATAGAAGGTTCCATAGAATGTTGGAGTTTGACCCTCTTTTCAGGTCAAGCTATAATTTATTCATTATTCAGGGACATTTTTAGTTTCACCAAAGGTCACAAAACACCCTGCTATGGCCTGATTAGCCAAAGCTGAGATATCATCAAATGAAGCCAGCAGAAGTCTCAAGAGTGAAGAGCTTTCATATCACCACTATGTTTGTATTTGGGCGACATTAAGAATAAACTTGAACCCTCCAGACAATAGACGCTTTTTTCTATTCAAAATATTTGTTGGGCCCTGCTCACTGATCACTCAGGAAAACGATTCTTGTTTTCCATCACTGGAAAACACATTTCAGTTGGAAATCTCACATAATGAATATATAACGCAAGAAAATGCTCTGAAATAACAAATATCCAACATTTACCGTGCTTGTGTCTGTGCATGTGCTGGTCATTCCAACTACAGTTGCGCACCCACCAGTTGACAAATGCCAATTGCTCCAACCTCCAGCCAGGAGAGTCCTTTTGGCCTCCCCAATCCCTAGCCCAAAAATCCATTTTCCAGTCACCTGATTGTTGGAGCACCAAGAAGCCACTGCCAATCTCCAGTTACAGGAAAATCTTGATTCAAAAATCTTGGTTGCAGTGAATTTCCAGGCTTTGGTGTGTGGAATGGCTTCCTACCACCGATTCTTTTCTGTACAAAATTGTATCAAGGTTAGGTTAGGATAGGTCATGTCAGTTCAATTTAGGTTAGGTTAGGTTAGGTATGATGAGTTTTTTTTTCTTCTTATGTATTTTATCAGATGAAATTTTGTGGAAAAAACGATTCTGTGGCTGGAAACTAACATAAGACAGGAGAGTCATCAGGGCAACCAGGATTTTAGAACCAAGATTTCCCTAGGACTGGAGATTTTCAGCAGTCTCTGGTTGACCCAACAATTGGGTTACTGGACTGCAATTTGGTGGGCTGCTGAGGACTGTCCTGGCTGGAGGTTGGAGAACCTGGCATTTGGCAAGATGACCACAGTTTGCATGATGACCAGGGGCTGACTGGGTACCAAAAACACTCTGCAAATATAATTAAATACTGTGCATTGTATGAGGCCCCATTTCATACTGCCTGTTTTGATCATGCAGTATCATCAGGATAAAACGTTTCCATGACAAATTCATTCCTATACTTGTAAAATGACTTGGAAAACCTTGACCTCGGTTATATACCTGGCATTCGTATATTCTCTCTGCTGCGTATGGTTCTGCCTAAAAATTAATATGTATTGTTCACATGCTCTTGTGTAATTGAATAAAATGCTTTACATCAGCATTATTGTCAACTTATTTTTGATATGATAAATTATCACTTTTTAACATAATTTGATTGTATATGATGCAAAGTATTGTCTTTGAAAAGTGAATAAATCACGCAATACAAGCGAAAACTACCGGATCTCCAGGACCTGTGGATAAATTATTATTATTTCTTCATTACTTGGTTTTTATCAGATTGAATTTCTAATTTTCTATCGAACGAATAGCTTGTATACATCCTCGTATCTGAAAAGGATCAACAGTATTTTTCTTGTGTCTTGATTGAAGTTAGTCTGCTTCAAGACACAGGAAATTTCACTGCCCAATTTCCATTGAGAAATTAACAATACACCACCCCATGAAATAAGGAATGATTTTCTGTTCAGGAATGCAATTATCAAGATGTCTCTCATCAAAACCAGCACACTTACAATGATTTAAAAATTCATTTCACAGACTGAGAATGCACCACTTCATACATTTCGAAAAATCGGAGACATTTGCGGCATATGATGTGGAATCATAAATTACGAATCCAAGATTGGTAAGCCAGCACGTCTTGAGCAACCCCCAGCAGTGTTCCCCAACCCGTGGTCCAGGGACCGGCACCAATCCGCAGAAGTTTTTTGCCAGTCCGCGAGAATTGTTCTGCTGTGGGATATTTTCTGCTGCATAATGTATAAACCAAAGCAGCAATGAAGTCTGTTATTCTTTTCCTGAAATGTTGGAAAGACAATAGCAGAGTAAATTATCTGATGAAATAATAAACGTTGGTTTTCCTCCTGATAGGCTTTATTTAAATTTTTTTCATTTGGAAATTACTCCTCTTTACAGAATGCATTGTTAGCATAAAAAATTTAGCTTACTTCTGTCCAGCAGACAACGTTGTTCTGAACTTGGTTTAAGGACAATGAATGATCCAGTATTGGAATGGCAACCTTATACTCCGCAATCGAAAATATATGCATCAGTGGAGATATTGGGTGCATTTTCGGATTGTGTGCGACACCTAGGTTCATCAATGTTGTGTAGGAAGTGAGCTTCATTTCGCCTTTCACAGTGTTGTGCGTCCCAGTACAATGTATACATATACAGGTTTGCATAATACATCCTCGTATCTGAAAAGGATCAACAGTATTTTTCTTGTGTCTTGATTGAAGTTAGTCTGCTTCAAGACACAGGAAATTTCACTGCCCAATTTCCATTGAGAAATTAACAATACACCACCCCATCAAATAAGGAATGATTTTCTGTTCAGGAATGCAATTTTCAAGATGTCTCTCATCAAAACCAGCACACTTACAATGATTTAAAAATTCATTTCACAGACTGAGAATGCACCATTTCATACATTTCGAAAAATCGGATACATTTGCTGCATGTGATGTGGAATCATAAATTACAAATCCAAGATTGGTAAGCCAGCACGTCTTGAGCAACCCCCAGCAGTGTTCCCCAACCCGTGGTCCAGGGACCGGCACAAGTCCGCAGAAGTTTTTTGCCAGTCCGCGAGAATTGTTCTGCTGTGGGATATTTTCTGCTGCATAATGTATAAACCAAAGCAGCAATGAAGTCTGCTATTCTTTTCCCGAAATGTTGGAAAGACAATAGCAGGGTAAATGATCTGATGAAATAATAAACATTGGTTTTCCTCTTAAACGCTTTATTTAAATTTTTTCTTTTGGAAATTACTCCTCTGTACAGACTACATTGTTAGCAGAAAAAATTTAGCTTACTTCTGTCCAGCAGACAACGTTGTTCTGAACTTGGTTTAAGGACAATGAATGATCCAGTATTGGAATGGCAACCTTATACTCCGCAATCGAAAATATATATACATCAGTGGAGGTATTGGGTGCATTTTCGGATTGTGTGCGACACCTAGGTTCATCAATGTTGTGTAGGAAGTGAGCTTCATTTCGCCTTTCACAGTGTTGTGCGTCCCAGTACAATGTATACATATACAGGTTTGCATATACTGTACTGTACATTATTCTATGTGCTTTACTTGGCGGAGATGTTTAAAAGTTTCTTCTCAAATGTGGCGAGATATCATTCGATCACAACATATTTCTCAGTTTACTTCGAGAATAGCTGGAATAGCTGTAAAAAAAATACAACGGCTGAAACGTCCTGCAAATTCTACAGTCAATTTCAAGTCGGTATAGAACCACATCAGTATATATAATACGTGCTGGTATTCAATTAATGTACTGCACTTTCTCACTCCAACCATGTGCGAAATTGAAGTTCCACTGTTGACATTCCATTCTGTTCTCATACACTACTGTAACTATTTGAGGGTTATTTCCATGAAGGAGGGCAAACATACGGTCCAGAATTCATACAAACAGCATTATCCAATTAATGGTGTTTCATATGATCGGAACAGATACTGCTTTCAAGTTTATGCACGCAGAATCGAATATGGCTATGGAACATTAGTATGGGTTCCAAAACACAATCTGAGTCGTGCTGTCGATGACGGAAACCCGATTTTCTGTGTCCGAAGCAATAATAGAAACCGGAAAAAGTTTTGTACCTGCGCAGTATCATCGCTGATTATTGATGAAGAATTATATAAACCTTTCTTTAATAAGCTCCAGAATCGAACGCAGTTGACACCCAGAAATTGGCGGTGCTTCAGCTTCACTGCATCTCTGTTTGCCAATATTGTCAATGATCGACAGTAAAATGGCCCAAGTGAAACACGTTTTCCGAATAATGCTTCTCACCGGCGCCATCCTTTTCCACCTCCTACATTTGTCATCGTCAACTCCTTTACAATGTATTGTATTCTGTTGATTTCAACGGAATTTCGGGAACAATGGTGAATAGTGTCATATTCCTATATTGTATTTCTAAATATGGAGCTCAAAATTAAATCCTGATTAAATCGGGATACATTTGGATTGAAGTGTACGTAACAAAAAAAAATGTATATCGTATATCTCTTGCCTCCTACAAATGCATTTAAACAGTGGGGCCCCAGCTTGCGGACGCCCGAACGTATGGGATGGGATGAATTAGTAACACTTGAAAATAAAAATAAGTGCCGGAACATCAAAGCAATTTCTCAAGATACAGACGCCAACAAAATTTATTGAGGAATGGGGATTTTTAAGATGTTGAAATATCTTGAATATATATGAAACTTTTACAATCACAAATTTTTTTCATTAATCACTAAAATTCACAATACAAAATAGGCTAATTTTGTGTTTCTGTTTTTCAGAGTTTTTTTCCAACTTCTGTGCACAGTATACAAAAACTTCTGCTATCCTTTTCATGCCGATTAAAAGATCAGATCTTGTTGGGTTTTCTTCTTGATTATTATTTTTAGTATATTGAAGTTGACAAACATTATTTCATTACATGTTTGGGGACTTTTTCTTGCTATTTGATTAATTTAAATATGTTCCCGTTGAAGTCATGCAAGGGGAAATCTTGATTTCACATGGTGCATCAATTATGTCTGCATTTTGGAGCCCCATGACCTGTTTATTGCAGGAGACTCATGAACGGTTTGTGTGATTTACATTTTACACAAAAATATAGTGGGCAGCATATTTTACTTGTCCAAAATTTTTAATAATTAATTTTGATATCTTTTTTTTTCCTGGCTTAGCCATACAGGAAAGTACATGTATATATGGATCCAATTAAATTGTTGGGAGCGCAGGTCGATTGCACTGCTTTTTAATATATGTAGAGATGCTCATTGTTATTTGGCATGGTTTTCTTACCGGAACTTTAGGAGTCCCAGTGGGAACTTGGTCATCAGAAAATGTCCCTGAGGTACGCAAAGAATGGCTCGGTTTCTGCCACAAGGATATCATCTCTGCTGTCTTGGGCTGGTTTCGGCAACTCTATTCCCACTACCACAAGCACCTCAACTGCCACCAGTCGCCGCCAACAACAACGCCAATGGCAACCACGTCAACAACACTGGGGATATCACTTTTTGCGGCATAGGACTGGAACAGCGAATGTTGAGGTTTTGCAATGAGAGTCACAATATTGAAATCAAGGTGCTGACTACTGCACACAGCTGCTCACCTCGACTGGATTGAGTCAATTTGGAGGAACACTTAAATTCTTACGGGACTCGAAGTTCCGTTGATTTGGATTTCCAACAAAGAAGCAGAAAATATATATGCTATTCTGATGGGATTCACTGTAACGTTCTGATCCACAGTTTATTTTTGGTTTCCTGCAAACCACTCTATACTCGTGAAATATGATGTCGGGTCTCTTCAGTTTCCCAGATCCATGCTAAAGATCCATCAATACAGTCAACCCCTGTCTAATGGACTTGATTTGTGCAAGGGATGAGTCTGTTAGACAAAAAGTCCTTTACACGAATTCAATTACATAAAAAATTGAAATTTCAGTTTTCAACACTAATTTTAAACCAAAAGAAACACCTCCACCAAAAAAAAAGGTCTGCGTTCAGTTGATAAGTATTGTTGATCATATTTCACAAAAATCACCATCTGTTTTGAGGTTAGGCATTTTCAAATATTTGAATTGATTTGGCCATGAAACACCAAGGCATCAGTATGAATATGATCACAACTTTGAGTTAAATATGACTTCTTTTCCTAGCTTTGAGAACCTGCAATTAGGGTACTTTACTTATTCAATGCATTAAGAGGGGAAACTTTGTTTTGTGCAACTGGTGGCTTTTGTTTCCTCCTCAAAATTTTCATCACCAATGATGACTGGTGATTTTTATCAGCCACGTGCTGGGGCACAAAATTTAATTTGCAAAATCAGAAATACAGTACTGTATCTCAAAAACTAAAGCGCAAGCAACATTTTACCAAGTCAGACTTTGTAGAAAACTTCATGATCTACATTTCGAGACGTCACGGAAATTTTAATCTTAATTTTTGAGCAATAAGTTATTCGTTTTGGAATTTTGAATCACAAAATATGCAATGTACAACAATTTATCTTTGAATTTTTCCTGGTTTCCAGAATTGTTTTGTGTAGAAAAATCCTGTGAATGCTTCATGCTTGTTGTGAGGATTATATAAGGTTTGTGTAATCTCAGAAAATATATAAGTCTAATTAATTACTTCATCAGAGATTGTTGTCTTTAATTTTCTTGAGTGGTAAACCAGATTCATTATTATAAAACCCGCCCAATTCAATGATCAATAAGATCAAGTGACCAGACTATTTTCACACATTTGCTGAACTTTAATTCTGGTTGACTTTAGGGCTCTGGCAACCAAGTTGTTGGGTCTATCCCCAGAAAGCCTACCTGTGTGTGATGTACCTTGTGCCCTTCATCAAATTTGAGAGTTTGGGAAAGATTGCAAAGGGTCCTCTGATTACAGTGAATCAAGAATGAAGGGACGGAGTGCAATTGCAGCTGTGGACACAGAAAGGTGTGAAAGAGGCCCTGAATAAGGAGAGGGCAGAAATTGAATGTCAGCAAATGTGCTTACAAGTGGAAAAAGCTCTAAAAATTGCTGTCAACCAGGATGCAGAGAAGCAGGCTAGGGAGATCAAAAGGGGTCACTCTGGCACACCATTGAGAGCAATGCCAAATTATTATTATTTTTTCATTCTGTTTACTCAAATGCTTCAGCTTTTCCTAGCTGAGGACAATTGGCACATAGATAAGTTGATAGGTATGTAGAATTTTCTTGGTGCCCCCTTTTTCAAGATGGAGAGGCAATTTTCTGACCACTCAGATTTGAAACTTCTCCTTTTGTAGTGCTGCCATCTGGCTTCCTTCAAGAGTGGGAGGCAGGTGGCAGCAAGGTATAGTCTGGACTGAAGAACCTGCTTGATATCTTTTTTTGAGATATATGTCCCAGTTCTCCAGGTACACTCAGAGAAGGAGGCCAACAAAGAAGCAGTTACACAATTTTTGGTGCACTTAAGTGAGTAATCTCTTTGCCTGGATTCAAATCATGGGCAGATGGAGTTTCTGGATCCATCATCTTGAATTTGTTCATCTCTCAAGCTTTTGTAAACCTTCTTCATTCTTGCTTTCTGAACAAGAACGCAATACAATTCAATGTGATTGTAAGTTAACGAAGCGTTGTACAGAACTTTGAAATCATTTTTCAAAATATGGTTTTGAGAATCTCTGTCATTTGTTTGTCCGAAAGAAATAATCTTCCCAGTACTGTATATGCGTGTTTTAGCATTCAGCAATTGGAGATTCGCAGGATTTGGCTCATCAGCCAAAAAAAAAAGACTCAAGAAAAAGAGTGTACTGTTCCTGTATATGCAAAACGCGTATTCTGTATTTCCTACTCATTAGTCACGAAAATACGCCAAGGCCACGAACATCAATAACAAAAGCAATACAGTGCCGCACTCTTTGTCTCTCAACATTCAACAAGCTCTTCCCCTCATCTTAACTCTCTTGCACTCAAAATTAATTTTTCGAAAATCTACCGGTAAAATTTTCTTCGCTTGACTCTTGCACGAAACAGCATCATCTCACAATTGAACACATGTTTCTCGTCAAAACCCTTTGCCTTTTTTTATACATTTCACCGAATATATACCGCGTACTTTAAAATCGAAATAAAATTTTTCAAACGCAAAATTCCTCATCGAATCAAAGCAAATGAATCTGACTCGCCGAAAAATAAATAAGACAAAGACACTCGAAGTAGACACACACACGCAGCGATTCCACTGCTTCACAAAGCAGCCAGAGAAAAAAATGCTTCAAAATCCATTCAGAGAGCCTCAGATGATTGAAGATGACAAAAAAGGATTTAAAGTCTGTTTGATATTGTAAGCTGCCAATCACGTGCTCAGAAGTTTTTTTCCATAAATCTTAAAAAGAAAATAATTAATTCACTTGTGAATGAAGAATTCTACAGAATGAGGTACAGCACTCAAGAATTATTCTCTAGTTCTGTCATGTGCTTCATGCGTCAGCCAAAAATATGTCAATTCTAAAGTTTAAAACGTATGAAAAAATATTGACAGAACTTGGAAATAGACTGCATGACTTTCAAGTCCAGTAAATGAAAAAAAATTTGTAAATGAGGGAAATAAGTGGTTTAAAATCCTGTCTGTGTCTCTCCAAAATTTGTGATAAGAGTCTTTAAATTTTCTGTGGTTTGAGTGTCTTTTTCTCATTTTCTGCAGCTACAGTAATGTACAGTATATAGCAAGCATACATTACCCATAGCTAAAAAAAAAAAGTCACCCGTATTAGGCCAAGCATATGTTACAGGTTGGCAGTATGAGTGATATCACACCTGCTTTTTATGCCTGCTAGGTTATTTGCTGCTGGGCTTATTTGCTTTGATACAGAGAGACTATTGATTGATTGATTGATTCATTGAGTAGGTGAGACGATGGTCCTTTTTCTTTTCAATCTGCTCATTGTCTGTCTATACTTCTTATTTATTTTATTTCCTCCCTCATCTTTTTTTGTTTTGTTTACCCTATATATGCTGGATTGCTGGTGCAGTACTGTATATCATCAGTGGTGCTGGTCCACATGCCGCACCTTGTAGGCCTTGGTCCACACCTCGCAGAGACACACAGTCGAGTGGAACCGGTAAAAGATGGCCAAGGGCATGGACACGTGCACAATGACGGTCCAGGCCCACTCGCCGAAAAACTGGAGGTGCACGGGATGGGCACTGGCCCGACTCGTCTCCAGAGTGTTCACTGCCCACATGGCCAAGTTGGCCACGATGAGGAACGTGACGAATTCCCGCCCGGGCTTGTCTCGGGCCTGAGCCGAGTTCCTGGCAAACCTCCGCGACGCGTCCACGATGAACATGGTCTGCAGGCCACACTGGGCCAGCATGAGGAGGCCCGTGGCGAGCGTGAGGCCCGTGGCCAGGCGACCAGCATCCAGGGCAAAGTAGCCGCCGATGACGATGAAAACGGCGTAGAGGAACAAGCCGGTTTGCGCGATGATGAGCAGGATGGAGTCGAGCTCGAGGTCGTGGTGCCGGGCGTGGCGCAGGCGCCGCATGCGCACCATGCCGGCCATGGCGGCGATGGCGGACGCCGCGTACAGCACCAACTCGGACACATTGGCCTCGAACACGGCCACGTCTCTAGTGTCCTCGCGGCCAATGAGCACGAAGAACAGGATGAGCGAGATGACGGTGAGCACGAGGAGCACGATGCCCGTGAAAAGGCCACGATTGGCGCCTGCGCAGTCCATGGAGTAGTGGTGGCGGGACCGCTTGGAGGAGATGCGGAGCATGCCCGAGCGGTGGCGCGGCGGGCGGTTGTTGCGAGCGTCATCTGTCCCGGCTTCCTCGACATTCTTCCACATGACGTAGAGCACGGCGGCGCAGATGAGGCTGTACTCGATGACGCAGGGGAACAGGAAGGGACTCGCGTTCTGCACCAGCTCGCCCATCATGTTGGTGCGGAGGCATTCGTGGACAGTGTGGGGCCCAGAGCCCACGAGACCCAGGGTCAGGGGCGTGGGTACCAGGTTATTCGTCGAATGTGGGTACTCCGACGCCGATGATGATGATGCACCTGCAATGAATAAACAACAACATTTGATGATTATGCAGCAGTACATACTGTACATATGGATGAGTTTGTTCAGATTTTACATCAAGTGTGTATGGGACTGTCCTCTGCTTTGCGGCATGACCTTTATGTAGGTGTCGCCTCAACAATTGTTGCTGTACTTTGAGGCGATTGCAGTGAAATCTCATCATTCCAATACATGTTCAGTATAACAAACTTGTTGAAAGTCAACTTCCCACAAAAAGCATATAGAGTACATGGTAAAACATCTGCATTACAACAATCATCATATTTCCAGTGGAACACATTTTTTTTATAAATATTCAGTACCCAAGTGGGGAAATTGGTGCACACTGGGGATTTGTTTGTAATTCTACACAGTGACCCTGCTGTGCACCTGAAGTGTATCAAAGTTCTTCTGTTGCACATGCATATCCCCAATGTGCACCAATTGTAATTTGTGTGATGCTCCTGTTATTTCACATTTGTGCACCAAGTGTAACCGTGAAATGGTAGCAAAATTTCCTCTACAGGAGTGCACACTGGTACCCCCAGAATATCCCATATGCACCAGTTGTGACCCTGGTGTGCACCTACTGCTGTGGGGTCACAGCAAAAATAGCTCCCCACTTGGGTAGATTTTCCTGGTAGAAATTTCCTGACTGATTCAGTTTCAGTATGAAACTTCCAATCTCAAATGTGACTGGCTGGTTCTTATTGTGGCATGAATAGAGGCTGTAATTAATGACAAACATGCTTCCAAGTGGTCCCACACACATCATCCTCCCAGAATGAAGAAATTGGTGCAGCTTATGGTAGGCAATGATTAATGGTTGTGTTTTTCCTTTAGAATATTGCTCACTTTTTCAAATAATAATAGAAAATTTGAGAATACCAGTAAAGAAAGATCTAATTGATTATAGACAGGTCTGATGTTGACAATTTTTTGGGTCATTCATTCTGAAAATATTGTATCACAAAAAACTATTCAGAGCAAAAAACATCTTCCTATGTCCCCAAATAATGTTTTTTTTCTGCGATTTTACTGTAATTAAAATACTGAAGTACTCTAAATGCAGTATACTCACTTGCATTGGCTTGTACCACAAGGAATTCGGGAAAGAGTGTAGAACCATTCCCAACGGGGTCCTCTACTCCAAAAATGAGGTTCGAGATGGTGTCGAGGACAGATTCATTGCCTGCACTGGTGTGCTGGTGGTGTTCATCATGCGGGTGGTGCACTGCAGGGATCCCCGCAAAAGAATGGTCCACCTTTGGTACGTGGTGATTCGCACTAGACTGATGGTCTCCTTGGAGCAGCTCGTGTTTGGACTCTTCCACCAAGACATAGAGCCAGATGCACAAGTTGGTGGCAATCATGTGCATGAGGCCGAAACGAGCCACCACAGAAAACCTTGAAATCAACATCTGCAACAAAAAAACAATAGATTAATCAATCCCTATAGATATGAAATCCCTGTAGAAAGTGTTGTAAACGGGTTACCTTCGAGTTTAGGAAGATGAAGTACATTTGGATGAAGGTGAAGACGATGCGAAACGCAGGAGTGATGGCCAACAGTGGGGTGTAACAACGGTCGTCCTCTTGGTACTCAAAGTACTGTCCCACCTCCAGGCCAGAGTATATCATGTTGCCCACACCAAAAGCTAGAGTATATTGGAACAAAACAAGCTCCTAGACCTAGAGTTTCTTCCATAAAATATTTCAATCCCTGCCCATCTTCCATGAGCATTTCTCGGTTGAAAATTAATTTAAATTTAATTCTGCCGTGACTTGTGGGCAAGGGAAAAATTGGACAAAATAAAGGCATGGACTTGAAAAATTACATCACATACTGGAATCTAGCCAATTATGCAGCCATTTAAATGAAAGCATTGTCCAACAAATTTAATAGCTATATTGCTTGTGTAATTGAATTCTGTAGAGTAACAGTATAATATACAGTAATAGAAATAAAAGCCCCATACTGAATGTCGAAATCAGCCGGAGACTGGCTGGGAATTCTTATTTGAAGTTCCAAAATACATTTTAATTCATTAAAGTCCCACTACAGGGTTACATAATCAGCTCAGCAAGATTCGACAATCAAAGCATTTTAAAGCAAAAATCGGGCTTTTCTTCATTTTTTTATGGCAATGATACATTTGACAGTGTTTTTCATTTGATCAGGGAAATACAGAAGGATTCAAGGTTTTTCTTGTACTTCTAGGTTATTTTTGCAGGATGAGAAGTTGTTTTTTATTCTAACCAGTTTTTAAAAGTAGGTTCTAGTTTTTTCAAGAACCTTTTGACTATTGGTCAATGACCTTAAAAACAAATTTGTTATGAAAATTGTTTTGCAATAAAACCCTTTGAACCAGTTCTTCAGAAGTTCAGAACATAAGCTACATTTGAGTCCCTTATACTTATCCATTCAATCATCAATCTCCTTTCAGAGAGAAAGAGAGAGAGAGAGATAGAGTCCACTCACTCACCAACTGTGCCCAGTCGGAGGTAGAAGCTCCCATACTGAATAGTTGGCTTGTCCAGCCATGACACTCTGCCAGTCTCTGGGTCAACCACACTCTGGGGGTCCACACTGTAAAAGCTCTCCATGCTGTAAGTTGAGCCCGCAACCCTCCTCATCTCTGATTGAGGATACACCCATCATCCCCCAAAAACATTAGATGGATATCAGGTGAAACTGAAACCAGTTTCATTGGAAGTCTGAAACCCTCACCTGTCATTCTGCTCTTCTTCTTGGTTACCATGATCTCTCCATAAATGAACAGCAGGAACACAATGCAGCCAATGTACAAATAAAGGTAGAATGCCTGCACACACACAAAACATGTCAGGGATAGTGGAGGAATTTGGCAAAGGGTGGACAATTACTGAAGAAAAAATCATTTTTTAAAGTGTTGAAAATGACTAAAAGATTGAGGACTGTTCACAAAAGACCAACTGTCAAATCCTTCAAGTCACAAACTCTCTGGTCAGCAAAGGCTCATTCATGTTGAATATTGGGATACCAACACTTTTGCGTATATACCAACAGGGAAAACTTTCAAAACAAATATCATTATACAAAAAAATTTTCTGTACAACAAACTTTTTATCAAGTCCAGTCAGAAGGCCCATAGTGTAAATACTAAAACAATCTTGGTAGATAACAAGCCTCCCAATTCCACTTCAACAAACTTCTTTTTAGGAATGTTTCATAGATTATCTAGTTAGAAATTTCCTGAATAAGGTGAACAAAGTCTGCAATTTTCAATCCCAAATATATGTGACTATAGTGACTGGCGCTTGTAGCATGGATGGAAGCTGCTGTAATCAATAACAAACATACTTCCAAAGCAGGTCCATGCACATCATCTTCCCAAAATGAAGACATTGGTACAACTGGTAGAATATTCATGTGATTGAAGTTAATTTTTTTTCAGAATGAAAGCTTACTCTGCTTTTCAAAAAAAAGTCCAAAATGGGAGAATGCCAGAAAAGCAAGACCCAACTGAGTATGAGCAGGTCTGATGATGTGAACATTTTTTTTTTGTCTCAGTCATTAATACTGAAAATTCTCTGTATATCAATTTATACACTATAGCAAACTTTTTTTTCCCCAATAAAGCCCACAAAATGTTGTTGTAACTGAATGTCACTGCGTGTGCTCCTTTACACGTGACATGGTTTTTGAAAAGAATTGAGAATAACCCACCTCATAAAAGCTGTAGGGGATGTGGGAGGAAATGACCTCGGACAAAGGAAAGGCGAATCCCAGCACTACCAAAAGCTTGCCATACATGGCACTAAGGCCCATGGCGATTCCAGAGCTGTAGAAGAAATAATGAAAATAAACAATAAAATAGGAGAAATGAATGGAATAAAAATGACTTGACGAGATGCTGTTGATCAATTACTGCTGAATGGAGTATACATATATCGCATGGCCGTATATACAACAGTCACGCACGCTGCACCACAGAACCATACAGACTCCAGCATCATGATGGCACCCACACTCGTCTCCCTCAACCTCGATCATTGCATGCATTTCATTCTAATTATAATTCTGCTGCTTATTCTCATTCATACGTTTCTTGCATGCAGATAATAAATGTGCCGAGATTTGGGGGGGGGGGGAAAGAAAAAAAAGGGCTTCGCCCACAGACGCGTGCAATTAAATTCGGACCTCGTCGCAACGCGTTCCACATATAACCTCGCGAGTGATGATGATTGATCGGTTGATTGACGTGGTCGGCCTCACGATGTGCTTATTTCCCTTCATCTGACAATAACTGAGCACGAAGACAGCCGAATTTTTCTTTTTCTTTTTTTTTTATACTATGGAGAGAGAGAACCTTGAGTTGGGTTGGTATCGCAATGAGAGGATCGAACCACTTTTCAACAGGTGCATTCATCTTTTTTAATCCAATGCACATTTAAATCCCACAACTCCGCATTCTTGGTAATTTGGGAATTTTTGCGAATACCTTCGAGACATGCCATTCGAAAGAGAATTGAAAAATAAGCTTTCATTTTTTTTTATTTCCACAGCACAATTTGCTACCAAGCTATATTTCAAGTCAAAAATCGGTTCACTTTTTTTGCCCTCCCTGTAGGTCATAAAAAAATTCTTCACTGACTTCTCAATTACCATAGGCGTTATTTTTCCATCTGTAAGTGGATTAAAAATGCAGCAAAGATACATTAAATCAAGAATGAACCTTGCTTTCGATGAGAATGAGCTTATACACACAAAATTATTACATAGGATGGGCCAGAATAATTTTTCAAAAATATCCCACGTTCGGAAGCTGAAAACATGAGTTTATTGCATTAAATATTTTGCATTCACCGCCCTAATGCCAAATTATTATTGATGCGGGCATACGATCGGATTTTTCAAAAAGATCGGAGAGAGTTCATTCAATCTGGAAAATCTGAAAAACTGTAAATTCTGTGAAGTTGGCAATCATCATTTTAAATTAAACATAAAATGGCACTTCTTTGCGCATAATGATGCTGAATATATGAAACAGATTTCAATCAATTTTGAACCACGTGTATTAAAATGTGATAAGTTGTGAGTTTTGCTTTTGATTGAATTCTGAAATTCAAAAGGTCAAGGCAAAGACAATTTGACGAAAATCGCGGTATTCGATTTTTTGATGGGTATGGGTTTAACATTGACCCACGGGAAATCAAACTTTCGACTGAAACAACAATTCAGATTTTAATTTTCAAAGGGGTTTGGTTTTAATTTTTGTTATTGCGGCTATTCCAGAAATTCATTCAAGTTTTGTCAACAAGATGTCGACTCTTTTTCCGATGATCAGTTTTGATGAGAAAATGCCGGGGAACGTGAACCCATGCAGTTCATCAATGATTATACTGATGAACTTGGAAGCCTAAAAACCCCTCAGATATCTTATACTGCATATACAGGTGCAATAATGGTCTACAACTCACTTCGTAGTCGGGTCCACGGCAGGTGTGTCTTTGCCGCCACCACCACCGCCACCGTCCTGAAGAGACGACGGCCGCCTGCTGAGGATAGTGGCGCTCGTCGGGTACTCTGATGGTAAGTCCTGGTCCTTCATGGTGCTGTTGCGTGCCAGGGGCATGTCTTCTTCTTCCTCCTTGTCCGGCACTGCCATGGCTTCCACCTCTTCCATGGTTCTGCCAATATTAAAACACATTTGGTCGTGTTCACAGTGAAACCTCATTCCGAAAACAAAATACAATTGCAACGAATGTTTCAGGACTGTAGGTAACAAACTTTTTTCTCAAGAGCCGGCAGAAAAACGTACATAGGTTAATTTTCTTTTTAAATCGGAGTATTAACAAACTTCACAATTCCAGTGTAATTCACTTTTTGAGAAATGCTCGATAGATTCTCCAGGTAGAAATTTCCTTACTAAGGCATTAATTTTTCGAGTCATTCATTTAGAAAGTCTCACTACAACATTTAATTCAGTAGAAAAATACATATCTCTGCATAAATTCCCAAAAGTTTGTTGCATTGAAATTTTAGTGCATGTGTAAATGCGATTTTTTCATCTCTTCTTATAAAACATAGAAAAATTGACTCCTGAACCGACGAGTTCAACGCGCGATGAAATTTCAATATTTGGTTTTAACTTTATATAGGTACAAGTACTGGGTGAGATTCTCATTTTTACGGCGATTGGAAATTGATTGAAAAATAATCCCCCAATTTTATTCATTGGAAAATAATCACCCACTGTTATTCGTTGAAAAATAATCTCCCAATTTTTTATTTTTTTTTTGGTTGAAAAATAATCACGCAGTTTCTCATACGATATTACGCATGTGTCTCAGAAATGGCCCCAGTCACTTTAAAATTGGATAAGTACGAGTAAGTACGAGTAGTATGTTTCAGCACTATATAGCCTGTTGAAGCGCCTTCAGTAAATTATTTCTTCATCTGCCAATAAAATATTCAGTTCCATATAAACAGCAAAACTTAGGGGAGAAATACAATCATTTAATTGACTCATGAAAGCATTAAATTGCACTCATACAAATTCTATATAAGCAATATTGAGAAATACTTTTTCCATTAAATCTTTCAACATCTGACAAGAAGCGTGCCACTGACATTGTGCGAATGGGAGATTCTCTCTGGAAAGGGTCTTGCGACTTGTCGCCGCCATCTTGTTCCAGAGAAAGCAGCTCAGTTGACGTGAGGACTGGCGGTGGCGTCGGTGGCGGCTGAGGCACAAGAGGCGCCTCTGGAGACGCCTCGGAAGTACCCTCTGGATTCTCATCGGGGTTCACGGCGGCGTCAGGCAATTGGGAATTGGACGCCGACTTTTTCCATCCAGACGGCGGCTCATTGTGGCGGAAAGGCGGCTCCAGTCCGACCCAACTGCGAAAAAAAAATTAAATAAAAAAGCTAATGAATAGAAGCAAAAAATTTAAATACAAATTCAAAACTCAAATTTTTAAATAGATTTTCCCACTTGTTGTATCCACATTGGGCGTATACCAAAATTATTTTTGAGCAGCATACGAAATTTGTACAGTACTTACTCTTCTTTTCCACACTTAAAAAAAAAAATAGTACTCATGACTAGAAGTATGCGGCGCCCATTTCATATTTTCATTTCCCAGATCATCAATAAAAAAAATTCCGAACGTTGAAATGGCTTTAGATATTTGATTAGTCAACTACTGTATATTATATACTGTATATTATATACAGTACTTTGCATTGCTGCCATTATTTTTTGGGAATACGCCGCCCAGCAAAGATAAAAATCCAATGAAATAATTTTCAAATGTTTGACAAATTTACTGTAAAACTTCATAACACATAAATTCTCAAACAATTCAAAACCATTGAATCAGAAAAATAATGCAAGTTTCACATACTGTCTCTAAAAATTGATGACTTGTAAAATTCAACTAACATTTTTGCACTTTTTTTCAAATTTTGCGCGCAGACGTCTGCTGAAAACCAGAAGCATAATACTCGCACCTCTGCCGTAAATTCTCAATAGGTTATTCATAGATCCGGTGGAATTTTGCCAGAGACGGCTCAACCACCGCACAATTTTATGACCACAAGCTGCCATATTATTGGCGTGCTAAATTCTTCGTCTAAACGCACACCCATAGAACCTCGATTGCGATTATTTTTTCGTCTTCTTTTTTTACTTGAAATTAAAGAAAATTTCATATGCATCCATATTGAAATTTTCTGAAATCGGAGTTCAAGAAATAAGAAATTGAAAAGCACCTGACGACAGCAGCAGTGTTTGCCCTGGACAGCCGACGGATACGTTTTAGCATTTCACACACTCGAGAACCCGAAAAATCAAAAGATTTGTTGGCCCCTGAACTAAATAAGGGTTCGCAAAAAAAAAAAATTTTCTGAAACCGGAATCTTGCTGTACTGTGCTAAAAATACTATATTCATGTAAAAGTGAGATGCAATATTTCCGTCTATGGGCCTCTCACCAAGGAAATTAAACTCGTTTACCACAAATACGTCACTTCGATGTTACAGCAAATAAATTGCTCGCCAAAATAAATTCAAGTAGAAAGTGATACACCATGAACCACGTAACTTGAAAAAAATAATAATAATGCTCACGGCGGCGCAACAAGAGGAACTACATTTACCGAAGAATCCTTTCACAGTTCTCTTTAATACCGTGTACACCAAATATTATTTATCAAGCGAAAATGTACTGTTTGTCAGTTGATTATTTTCAATGAACTAATGGCATTAAGACGCGATTATCTGAATCTTCCCATGATCGAACTATGCACGCAAATCGAATTCTCAACCTGAATTAAATCACTCGAAGAACATATACATGGACAAGTCTCATTCAAATGCACTCGAATAAAAGACATCGTTTCGTGGTACTGAATCTCCACTAAGCACCACCACCACCACCACCGTCACCTCAAAAAATGGAGAAAATGTAATTGAAGTCAAAGCTAGAGCAGCAAGGAGAGAACCGATTACAAATACGGCGGGCAATCAAGTCTTGAAACGCTTGCAAGCACCGCAGGCAAGAAACTGAGGTAACCTTTGCACGCAAGCTCAAGAAAAAGTGTGCCGCCCGTAATTTAATACATATTTTATTTATTTATTCTTCTTTCTGTCTTCTTTTTTTCATACTTCTTCTCCTTCTTCTTCCATTCATGGGTTCAAATTGAAACCAAAACAAAAAAACAATGCGTCGATGAAGGAGAAGGGAGAGAACCAGGCTTGAATTACTCGACAGCGGTTTGACAAAGCTCAAAGGCTGACGCGTGTCAATGTCGATCATCAGCAGACTGCATACGATAATAAGGGGACGGCACGTACAAGTATTTGTTAATCAATGGTATCAACGTATCTATACTCTCAAGCTTGAGATTTATGAATCACTGCATGCTCAAAATGTGCACCAGTATTGTTGACTATTATTGAGTACGAATCCAAAAAAAATTGAGGATGAATATGGAGTGACAAAATAAATCATTGGCAATCCGCTGATAGTTTGAGCCAAGAGCATATATTCAAGTCTGCACCTTGAAAATATGTTCCTATTTTTTCAGCATGATTTATTGTGTAATTTGATGACAAAGAATTGACAGGATACACAATAACCATAGCAATCATAAACCAACACATGCAAATGAAGAAAAATTACCACAAATAAAAATCTGAACATAAGATACATAAAAAGTAGAGATAATGCAGAACTAAAAAGAATAAGTATTAATTCTTCACAATGAAGGTTTTGTGTAGACTGTTTTTCAATTGTAATTAAAATTTGTTGTATAAACCTTCACCAGGTTTTTCTCAGGGCATTCTCTCAGCAACAACTATCTCTTGTTGCTCAAAATTCAGGAATGATACTCAAGTACTTTGCATCATTATTAAAAATTATGGAAGCCTTCAAATGATTAGAATTCGAAAACAATTAGATGAATACTGATCATATGTATGCTGGCATAACAACCTTCATATCCGTCAACACTTCAACAGTATAAATCAAGAATCTTGGCTGTTGTGTCCTTGAGCTGAAAATGGCAATAAGGATTCGTTTAATCGCATTTCAGGTTTAGGGTTTTTTTTTTCCAAAAGATAACGTTGATCACATGCCCTTGACCTCGAGGCTAAAAAACGATCAAACCTAAGGCTGCATTGCATGGCAATAACACCCTGCTATTTTAAAGCTGGTTTTCGCGAGGAGCAGTGTAAGAGTTTTCTTTTTCTTCGTGAATACTGCATAAATATTCATTTCGTGCATGCATTTTTTAAATTTTTTTATAGAAAAATGTAAATAATGAATGCGAATAAGAGCTTCAAGTGGAATATATGCCAGTCCAGTACTGAAGGACGTTCAAGAACAGGTGCGCAGATGCATTAAATTCGTCTCTGACGTACGTCCCTATGGAAAGAGGAGGTGGAATGACAAGCGTATTTTCTTAACTTATGGAAAAAAAATTTTATAAATACAAAAAACATAATCTCTATTTAAACTTTGCAATGTGTCTCAGAAGCTAACGGAATATCGCGTCTCTGGTGGTATTTATAAACCAGCGAAAACGAGGACCGGTGTAACCTGCTCAGTGTCCCAGTCAAGGCCACCATTTGAGTGACTTTGTGTAGATGTCGCCCGCGCGATATAATAAGAGGTCCCAGAAATCTTCCTTCTCCCTGAAAAACTCCGCTTCTTTTTTGTTTTCTTTCTTCTCTCTCTCTCTCTCTCTCTCTCTCTCTCGCGTACTTGACAGGTTATTTTAAAAAGTTGACATTTCGGGTGAGCAGGCGGGAGACAAATTATAAAGCAGACATGTGTCGCTTCCTGATACTCGCCGAGTTGATCTTGTCACTGTCAAGAGGCAACAATAATGACAAGGTCTCGGGAGAAAACATACTTGATTCTGCGCAGTCACACTTATCCGCACCGAACAGGCAACGGAATGATATGCGAGATATTATGTGCTGTGCTGCTGGTAATTAAGTCGTCAAGCAACTCACTTGGTTTCATATAATAAGTACCGCGCCGAGAGAGTAATTTTTTGGTTTTATTTTTTAATACAAGCTGAAGGTTTAAGTACAGTACAGTACTGTACACTGCACTTTAAATTTCATGCACGTGCCTAACGCAAACAAGGGTGAGGGCAATTCCCGAGCAACATGATAACTTCGTTGGAAACAATAAAGAACAATTTTTTCATCATTCGCCGGACTTTGTTTCAATTGAGTAAAAAGCGCAGATGAGAACATTTGCAACTTGAAGGTACATAATCTTAATAGCATTGATTTCAAATTAGCCATTGGGGGGTGGGGGGTGAGACAAATTATTATCTACTTTCAACAATTGCTGAATTGAAAATAAGGTAAATCATTTTGTTTTGCTTTTATTCTCAAATTATGATATACAGTACAGTATTTGATTGGGTGTTACAGAAGCGTTTAAGCAGTTCCTCCTGATTTTTATGATAAATATGGTCATCCAATCTCTTCTCATTTGGAGACTTTGTGTAACCATTTATCATGTTATACATAAACCAAACCATGCCTATACTGCTAATGTGAACATAATGACCTTGTAAATAACTCTCCATATATTAAGGTACACTTTTGGTTAATATTATTCATATGCATTGTCTGAGATGCAATTTATTCAAGTTCAGGAATAGTCAATAAATCCACAAAGTTTTCTTATTACTAGGGGTAACTTTGCATTCCAAGTCCATTTCTTTATACAATAATGCAATGTACTGGACAATGTTCCCATCAGCAACAAGAAAAAAAATATCCCTTACAGCATAGAAAAAAATAAAAAAATGGGATCAGGAAAGTTGCAGAGGATATCAGTTGCTTTCATTGCATATACTGTATACAGTAATGTACAGTACAGCTCTTTTTCTCTCATTGTTTATGATGACGAGTGACTCACTGACCACCAGATGGCGTCTTGGAGAGACAACGGCTTAGTGTCGCAGGCACTTAGGCCCCGGCGCCGAAGAGGCAAGCGACAGAGCCCAGCTTCCCTGTCACAGGGACTCATGGGCACCCAGGGGTCGTCCGCCATTTGCTGACGAGTGGTGTCCCCGTGATGATGATGACGATCCCGCACAGGCAACACTGACAACAACAGGGACTCCGCACTGCCATGCCGATGCATGGCTCATGCATATATTCATGCGAACCACTTGGACTAGTCATTTATTTCCAATTTCATATCCCTCTCTCTCTCTTTGTCTCTTAGTGGTCGTATTTGTGCAGCACTACTATACCGAGGAGGAAACTGGACGCAATCAAACATAGGCATACTAAACAGTATCACAGGAATTCAGACAGAGGGGTAGAGAGATGAGAAAATAAATACAGTGAGACCCCCAACATGCAGACGCCTCAACATGGGGACAATTCAACATGGGGACATTTATTTTTTAACAAAAAAAATCATAAAAAAAGACCCAACATGAGGACACTGACTCAACCTGGGAACATTCCAGGATAAAATTGCAAAATAAATTTTAGGAAAATCAATTTTTATAAGGCTTAATTGCAAGAAACATATATGTTTCCAACCTAAGATCTATGCAAGAAAAATTCTTTGGTACTTTTCCCATCATTTTCCCATCCATTCAGCTAATTTAAAAAATGACCTATAGCACAGAGGTACTTCCTTCTAGCTCTCTTTGTGACATGGATGTTATTTTTCCAGATGCCAACTTTTCAATTTACTATACAGTGCTACACTATTCAATGTTCCAAATGTTCTTATTGGTTTGAAAAGATGTTCATTGAATCAAATTCAAGTGGCAAAAAATTTTTTTCATGAAATTCTGAAGAACATTTCTTCCATAAAACACCAATTAAAAATTATACAATGTAAATCTATGGGAGAACAAGATTCAACTTGGGGACAATCCAACATAGGGACTTTCTTGATGCACCAATTATGTCCGCATCTGGGGGTCTCACTGTACTGTACTGTACAGTGAGAACCCAAGATGTGGACATAATTGGTGCTCAGACCTTGTCCCTTTATATGTTGGAACATCCACATTGTGTCAGACCTAGTTTTGCCATCAACTTCAAAATGAGACTTAAATTTAATTGGTTCTCAAGTTCATCAAAAAATTAGGAATGAATTGCCCAAAAAATCAATTAAAATGTGCTTCTCAACTTAAAAATACCGACTGTGAATTTTCTATATAATTAAATCGTCACAGATTCTGATCATCTGGTATCTAACTGGGCCAACAAAATTACAAGTCTTGCTATCCTGTGCACAAATGATGGAGGATGCCTCAAAAACCATGAAATCAAAACTTGTTTTGCTTATAAATTTGAGTATATATATGATTAAATTCATTTTAACTTTTGTGAATATACAAGTACAGTGGCTCAATTTGTTTGAGATATTCAAATTTCGAAAAATTCAAATTTTCCATGCAGAAACATTGCAAAAGTGGCCGTATGTCGAGATGTTGTCTGGATGTTGGGTCAAATTTGTCAAGTTTCATAAGTGTCCCCATAAGTGGAATTGTTGGTAAGTTGGGGTGTCCATATTTCGGGGGTCTCACTGTACAGTATATGAAAATTCGCCACTCCTTCGTCTCGCTGGCCACCATTCAACAACTCGTTCACCGCGAGTGTCACTGACATCCCACAGGTTCGCCAACGCGACGACAGATGACGCAGCGAGTCAGGTTACAAAATAAGAGGGGGGTCACCGTCAGTATATATTGATAGCACCCCGGGGTGCTGGATATAATAATAAGTACCGCAAGAAAAAAAGGAAAACTCAGTCAACCAAAGTATATAATTTGTCTGCGTTGTGCATACAACTTATTTTATTTTTTGGGAGTCTTTTGCTATTTACATCGCGCCACTCACGATCCTCGTCCTGCGACGACAAATGCTCTTGGTCTCTGTCTCTCTCACTCTGACACACACACACACAGACTCACTCACTCACGCACACATAGGGTGAAAACCGCACGCTGTTGTTGAGAAACTGGATGGCACTGCTGTATTGTACAGTACAGTATATAATAATGCTGAAATTGGCAACGGCGTGTGGTTTAGAGACTGCATGTACTGTTTACAGTAAACATATGTACTGTACTATAAAAACAACCGGCGGGACTCGGTCGAGTACTGAGAAGGAGACAGTGGAAATCGGGCGGATAAAAGTCGCGCTGGTGAAGGGAACACACGGATAATAATGGGCGGTGTTGTGAGTGTGTGGGATCCAGCATAGAAGCGGACCAGGGCAGAGACAGAGATTGAGACACAGATATATATATATAGACCCTCACACACATACCGTACTGCACAGGGCAGCTGTGTGTCCGGGTCTCTCTCTTTCGTCTTTGAGTGTGTATGTGAGAGAGACCACAACTATAAATGAGCCACGAACACGCGTCACGTACATTATGTCCTGGTACCGGCTTGTAGCGGGGTTGGTGTCCGGTCATCACGTGGTGCTCCCCTGCTGCTTCCCGCCCATATGGGACTTGACATTTTACCCGCACTCGCATGGTTTTACAAATGAAACATGCGTCCAAAAATAGAGCCAGTCTGAATCCAGAACCCGAGCAGAAAACATGAATTGATGAATGAATTTGCATAAAACGCTGTCTCACAGGGAATATCTCCATTTGTAATAAACTGGCCATTTTATGTTTTTTTTTTACCAAAGCTTCACTGAAGTACAATATTTTTTTTAATCATGATCAGGTTAGCTACATATATCACTGGAGTGACACCTGGCCCTTACTTTGCAGAATTAGCATGGCAAGTGTGACACCAAGGCTGACAGTTTGTTTGGCAATATTTTAAAATCGCATCATATGCTTTAAAAGTGGAAAAATGTATGAGAAACCTTACACGCACACTGTGAATTGTTTCTATTTGGTTGAATAACCAACATTAACTGGGCTGGATTGGGTTATTTTAAATCAATTAAACTGAAATTATTGCCCTATCAGGGGAATAAGCTGAACAATGTTTTTGAATAAAGGCAAGAGAGGAAAAGATTTCAACAAAGAAATAAAACAGCTTCAACGCCAATGAGTCTGAAATAAAATTATCTATCATTTTGGGGTCTAAGAGAGAAAATTTATTTTTATAGTTCTGATATGGATGTCAGAGGCTTAACATATATTTCCATCTCCATACTTCAGCACAAGGAAAGCAGCCATGGTGGTAATTTCATTCTTTTTAATAAAAAAGCATATGAACCATTAGGCATAGAAAACAAATTCTTCCCATGTTGATGTTTTTGTTCCCTTGAATTTGGTCAGACATGGAAATTTTCACACAAGAGATGGGGTCATATACTTCTCAAGTGTGTAAGACACATGTCTGTGGATCCAGTGACGCAAAAACTAAAGTATCCCAACAATTGATCCCAATCAGTTTGGGTAAATCCCAAACTGCAATCCTTGCATATTTCAGAGGCTTATACAAGTGTCGAGTTTGGGCTAACCAACGAATGTCCGTCCAACATTTTTCCGGATGCGATTTGGAGTGCAATATCGCCGCAAATCCTCAAGGACGAAACTGTCCCAGGGTCGGGAAAAACCCTCACCACACTTTCACTGTCCATTTCAAGTAAGGATTTCCATTCACGCAATCAACAAAGGGATTTGCACATGCTTTGTACCACTTCAAAGACTAGGTACAGTATAGTTTTTAAATACAGTAGCACATGCTCAGGGGAGTATCAACACATGGTTAAGAACCACCTCATTAGTCTCTGGATTTACAGCAACTGTTACTGTGATCAAACCATGTTTTTTTTTCTGGTGAGATAACAAGTGAGGTTTTAAACCAGTCCTTTGCACCACTCTATTCTCAGGAGTCAGGACTATGGATGATACGTCCATGAAAATTCAATTCTAGTTACAATACTTGAAACCCAATTTATTTTATTCCTGGTGAATCATATACTTACACCAGCACTTGACAAAGTGCCCCTGTGATTGTACCACTGATGGATGAAAAGCCCTGATACAAGGGATACTCACCTCACAACCTTCTTCATCTTGCCTTCAAGTCCCAATCAGACAGTTCTCATCCTTGGTCCCCTTTCTGATGGGAGCCCACAAAACCACACATGGTGCTAAAGACTGTCATAACTGGCACAACCGACGCCAACCGAGTCAGCAGCCAGAATGAGATGAGTGTCAGTGGCACTGCAACAGCTCCACACATCATGGCTTTATAGTGAGTTTAGTGGATTGAGGAAATTTGAAGAGTTGTAAGTGGCGACACGCATCAACTCAAAACGGGTGCCGGTACAATCAACTCTGTCCCAAAAAGTCGCCAAAAAAAAACAGATGTCTTTACAATTCCAGAAGAAAAAAACAAAGCAGGTGACGACTCAGAGTCAGAATTTCGTGACCCGATTTCCGATCGCGTTCACAAAAGTGTGTGAAATATGGGAGGAATTTGATTGATGACCGGAAGCCAGTGAGAACCTAATGATGGGTAGGAAATTACAGCCTCTTCCTGCCCTTTCAATCCACCCCCCATAAGGTTCCGGTGTTTTGTTCTCGCCTTCTGGCCCATCATTTTACACTGTCAGGGTTCACTATATATAAGGCGGAAGGTTCAACAATTACGCGTAACGTTCACAAGAAGCGATTGAAATAAAGTACTGCATTAAGAAAGTACTGTACTACAATGGAATTTAATTTAAAAAAGTATCTGGTACGCATTGTTGAATTATTTGCACAGTGTAAAGCAATGCTTCAGGTACCTTGATCAATATATATATATATATATATATATACCCAAATAAAATAAAAAACACTCTCAAAGAGGTACCTGATTTTATTTTAGACTTGAATTGATGAAATGCAAATAAAATACTGTACTGTAATGTACTGAATGGGGTTTATTAATAATTTGAGAATTTTGATGCAAATGATGGCTGAAATGGAAAAAATGTACATGTATGACCAAAGACAAGAAAAGAATAAATTAAAACCCCGGCATTGATGGAATTCTCAGAAGCTTAAAACAGTCAGAAATGCATATACAGTATATAAACTTGAGCTTTGATAACTCAACCTCACTAACCCAACCTTTTTTCCCCGTCCCTATATGTCTTGAATCTTGTAAAATGAATGAATTAAAGATCTTCTCAAAATCAATGGTTTTCTGTTCTGGAGAAAATTTGTCATTGTTTTTTAAAGAGTGAAGAGAAAACCAGTAAGTATCCAACTAAAGCATATGTATTCTGAAAGGAAGCAAAATAATAATTGGGCAAATAAAAACCCCATACCTCCAAGTGGAACATCCTGTCAGGTCATTTAAAAATATTCAGGGCCCAGAATATCACAAATTAAAATTTCCTACAATTCTTCTTCTGTTCCCCTCAACAAAGATGATTACAGTGGCCCCCCGCCTAACAACAAACAGACTTCTTTTGGTTTAAAATTAGTGTTGAAAATTGGAATTTTTAATATAATTAAATTTGTGTAAAGGACTTTTTGTCTAACAGGCTCGCCTGTTGCACAAATCAAGTCCATTAGACGCGGGGGTTGACTGTATTTCCTTAACTCTGCTTGGCTTGAAGAAATGTATACATAATTCAAATTTGAAATGAGGCCCTTCAATATGCTTTCAGTGGCACTTGAGGTGTCAGTAAGACATTGGACAAAAAAATTACAAAAAACCAGAAAAAAAATTTTCATGTGCTTCCTTACAGGGTTAGGGTATGATATAGGTACATGAGTCAAGTATTTCTGGACTTGAAATTATTTCCTCGCCGCCAGCTGTCAGGCAAACTATTCTTCTTACAGCTGTGTGATATTCCCAACACGGAGTACAACTTATACTGTATTCAAAAAATTTGTTTTTAGGAATCTAGGAGAAAAAGTGATATGAGAATTTGTAGCTTTTTCTCATATCAATTCCACAACATTTCATAGCGGGGAGAAAGTGGGGGGTATGAACATCGCAATTCTTCCATCATGTGATCAGATGACTGGAGATTCGTTATAAAGGCATAAAATAAAAACAAAAAACCTTGCTTCGAAAAGTTTTCCCGCGAAAATCGCGTCCCCCATTACACCGAGAATCCCTTCTCGACTCAGGGTTCATTTGGCGTCAGCAGGGCAAAGTCACCCAGGCGGAAACGGTGAAAACAAGAGGCAGCCCAACGAAGCACCACCAATAAAACAACCGCCAGGAAGGGGCAGGTTAAAAATAAATAAATAAAAAGACAGAAAATAACCATTGAAATAAACACAAGAAAAACCGACAAACTGGGTCCCCGAATTGATATGTACAAATTATTTTCTTGGCTCCAAAAAATGTCAAAACATATACACAGTATACTGCAAGTCACCGCTTGCAAAAACAAAAAAACAAAAACTTGAAAAACGGGTGCACTACTACCAACAAGAAAAAGTCAGTGCTGGTGTTTCTCCTGTCCATTATTCCGCACCTGAGACAAATCCGTTCGTGTGTGTGTGTGTTTGTGTGACCGGAAGGCGATGGAGGGATAAGAAAATGACGGCACCAAAGCGGCAAAGTGGTTGTGAAGAGGGAGTTTTTCCTTAGCACCCATCGGAGCGGAAAATTCAAGAGATAGATAGATAGATAGATGGGATGCATAAAAATAAATTTACAAAAAAAGGGGGGGGGATGGGATGGGTGCAAGGCTGGCATGAAGCTCAGAAACTGCGACTCACGCACACAGCTACCACCTGGCTTCCGCCTGTTCTAATCTAAGTCAGCACCACAACCACTGCCACTGACTGAGTCTTGTCCTGTCACGCGGCTGACTCTCTGTCTCTCTCTCTCTCTCTGTGCATGAGGCCAAAGGTCAGAAACCTAATTTACCTATACATCAGACCAGGGCTCCACCACAAGTGACTTTTTGCTTCAGTATAGCAGCCCGGTGAACAGTCTGTATTGGAAAATGGGACCATATACCAGGAATGTTTCCATCTCTTTATTGCCATTCAATATGTGAGCCTGGGCTTGGAAAAATTGAAAGAATGGTTCGCATAGAGTTTTGATGAATTACTCCTGTTTTTGTGTCATGCAGTATGTATGTTTTTAAATAATGCTAGAACAAATTACAGTCAAACCTCTTTGAGTGACACTTTGATTCAGGGAGCCAAAAAAATGAATTGAGTTAGGGAAACTGGCATTTTTCCAGAGAAAGGAAGTATGATTGTAGGAAATTTTAATTTTTGATATTTCAGGCATATTCAATTTCTTCCTAAATGAGTTAACATGATGATGAAGTTAAAGGCCAGGGTTTATTTGCGAAATTAGTCTCTCACTGAATTTCAAAGTATACTGTACAGTACATTGTTAAATATTTTTTTGTTGCTTCTGAATATCCTGTGAGAAAAAGTACTCTAAAAGCAAAAAGGCCTCCAGAAACTTTGAGTTATGGAGGTCTGTGTGATGGGAAAAGCCTTTTGGCTCCAGCAGAGGTTTTTTATGTATTTTTTTTTCAATGGAATTCAGACATGAACTTGAAAAGAAGAAAAAAACATTTGGTTCAGCAAATGTTTTGAGTTATCATGGGGTCAACTGTATGTCATTTTATTGAAACCCTAAGGGATACAAAACTCATTCCATCAGAAATGAATCAGTGTTGTATCCTGGGAAGACATTTCATAGAATTGTCACATGTCACTACTCTGCTGCCTGTTCCCATAACAGAGCAAGTCCAGGACTTATGTTCATCCCTGACTGAGCCAGTCACCCCCATCACGCAGCAGGGAGAGGGGGGGGGGGGGGCAAGGGATACGGTACCTGCCAGGCACAGGTTAAGTAAAAGCAGACCCTCTGGATGAAGTTTCTCTCTGGCTCTCTATCCGCCCGTCACTCACACTCACTTTTGAGGGGGAGAGGTTTCATCAATTATGCAAGATTCCAGAAACATTGTTCCTGTGCCTGACTGTTGCTACTGAACCTGCACGCACGAGCTAGGGCAATGCTTCTGACAGCAGCGCTCATATCCAATAACACCATGGAGTCATTCAAAATTTTGGAACAATAATACACTTGTTCAGCCAACAGGTTTGATTGTTCTTTTAAGAAAAAAGAGAAATGCATCGCGTATAGTGCTTTCAAACATGTACGCACAGTACATATGTCCATCATGAGACAATCATTTGGACCAAGAGGCATAACCATGAAAACATTTCAAAGCAGCACACTTTGATACTTTATCTGAAACTAGTACTGTATGAACAACATGTAATAGCATTCTAAAATTCTCAGCTATACTGTAAGAAGCTTTTCATTTTTTTTTTGTTGGCATTATGAAATTATCTGGTGCTGGTAACTGGAATCGTGGAATCAATATCGGTTCTGCAAGCAAACCATCATATTACAGTATTTGCCTCACGCAACAGTGCGTGACGTTTTACTGAAAATTTGCAAATACAGTATTATACAGTACTGCTGTATATATCAAGGCACGTGTTTTCAATGCTGCGTAAAAGTATATAATATTTCCCGACTATACCACGCACACGTTTTCCCCAAAATTTTACAATAAATATTATGCACAAATTAAACACAGATAAAACGTTTTCTGCCGGACTTTGGAATTTTGTCATGTGTCTCATTCAAATCACCAACCGCTAAATTTCCAAGATGAGGATATACTGTATTGAAGAAACTGTGAGGCAAAATTATTTTTATTTTAGGACTAGATAAAAAGTTCTTTCAAATTTTTTTCATTTTCGTCAAAGAAGCATGCATAGTTTCGTTTCTTAGAAATTATAGTTCGAATAAACGTTTATTATTTCCACTTTATTAGCGATCCTTTTGAGGAATACAATTTTTTTGAAAAGGAAAGAAAAAAATTATCATTCCATCAAAGTCATAATATTTTTTCCTCGCATATAATAAAAACCTGAAATCCGAACACGATGCATCAACTTTGAGCTACATAATAATCTATATAACATCTAGTTTTGGCCTTTACCAGTATAGCTGTAAATTTTGAAATAGCATCACTGTTGTCAAACAAAAATACCTTCAAGAAATATAAAGATGATGCGTCAAATGCGGTGGGATGCAGTACGTTTTAAAATTTTGAATGCACCGTGTCGAATTTTCTTAATATTTTCAAGTTCCGTTTTCCTTCTTAACTTTCGTATTAATATATCTTTTAATGCATCCGTTGATTAATTCTGGAATGTTCTTCCTCAATCGGATTCAGGTTACCCGTTGTTGATGGATTTTTGAAGTAGCAGCCGGTTCCTTTACTGTACTACTATAGTTGTGGAACAGATAAAGGTCATGAACCAAAACGAAGCACCAGCAGCACTGTTGAACTGGAAACATAAATCTGCCTACTATACGTAAGTGTCTGTCTGTCTCCTGTGTCTGTCAATCCATGCCATTCTTGAAAACCTACAGTATTTTCTCTGTCTCTCTCTCACCTTGGAAGGGTCCTAGGCAGGGAGACCGAGTCCGGAGAATGGTGCAGGAGCAGCAGTGGTGCCGTGTCCTGCTCTGAGGCGGACCTGCGCAGGCGCCGCGCAGCACCAGTGGTACCACTACCACCGCCTGAGGCGTGCACTAGACTCGAGGCGTCGCTGCAAGTGTCGGCGCCGCCGCCGCCGCCCTCGGCGCCATCGCCAAGCAGACTCTCACAGGCACATAGGATGCATGAGCAGGAGCAGTCTGCGTCATGCCGAGTGCACGTGGGACACCGGTCCCCGCCGAACTGGGTCACAGACAGGAGCCTGAGGTCAGTGTCAGAGCAGCCAGTGGTCGACAGGGACGCCACTGATGACTCGGACGGGCTCCACGCGCGACGGCGACGCAGTTTCAACAAACTCATGATGATGATGATGGTATGTACTTGAAACAACACAGCAAGGGGCAGGAAGAGGGGGAGGGGGGGGGGGGGAGAAAGACCAAGGAGTTGGTTCTGCTGTTGCCACACGACACACTATTTGAAATGTATTGTACTGGAAGCGGGGTATACCACTGATGATGATGGCTCAGTACTAATAGTGATGCATCTGGTCGGAATGCACCAGCATTTCGGAATATAAGACTAACACCTGCATCACATACGGGAGTGACCTATGAACCAATTCCAGCATTGCACAGCAGAGAAAAATAAATCAATCAAAACATAATTTTTTATTTAAATTACATATGCAATTGTTATTGACTGCTGAGCAGCACCAGCAATATAGAGAGAGTAAAACAGAGTGCCACTCATGATCCAGTAATTCATCCACAGCATGCACCATACAAGATAATTACCATCAAAACCACTTATAATGCTCTGTTGTTGTAAGAGGAAAAAACTCAGAGCTCTTTCAGTTGTTCAGAACAGTGTGCAACTATGTTTTAGATTAATTACAGTTGCAATTGTAATTTAAACTTATGTTTATGCCATCAACTTGCTTAGTTGTAGCCAAAGATTAGTGTCTCTAACAGGGTTTACCAGGAATAGGGGGTTTGGTTGCATTATTCAGAGAAATTAAGTTGAGGACTTGCAACATAAATTAGCCTACTGTCTCAAAGCATGTATACAATGGGACATTTTTCCTTTTTTTTTTTTTAAACCTTCATCGTCTTTGTTTCCAATTTAATTTGATGACTGTAAATCTGATCAACTTTGTTATTCAAGGCAGCAAAGCACTCTTGCAGCTGATGAATAGTACGTTATGTTTCAGATTTAATCTCAAATTATTTGAAATAAATACAATATTGTGCATTCAGATTTTGCAGGTTAATTCAGAATTTATTTCTGGTTGATGTGAGATAAAATCTATGATCCATTTTCATTCCGCGAGATTTTTTTTTTGACAGGTGGTATAAGAGGGATCTTTCAAGTTCGTTGTAAGATTTTAGTACAACTAGTACTGTAATATGAATGATGGTTACACTCTTTTTGTTGGTCAAAGGATCCAACAGGAATGAAGAGGGAAACCTGCGCACATCACAATACAGTTCCAGTGGCACCCTGCTGCAAGCACACTTTTAATAAATGAGCACCAATATCAAGAGAGTAAAACTACTGTATAGTTCTCCTCCTGTTTCTTTTTCTCTATGTACAGTAGTTGCACTTTCTGCACTGTGTCACCTCACCTCACCTCACTGGTGTCATACAGGTGAGTGATTTGACTGCCTGCCTGCCTGCTGCATGATGAAGGTTGGTACACTGACGTATAACATGCAGCCGGCGAGGACCACCGCGGGGTGCAGAGTGAACCACCAACGACCAACCGACCGACCAGATGGCCAGCCGGCGCGCGAGTCGCGAACTGACGGACAGAGAGAGAGAGAGATAGACAGGGACAAGTGCTTTTACTGTACTTTTCAGACGGACAAAGAAAGACGACAGCGTCTCACTATTATTAGTACCGTTAGTTCCTCTTTTTTTTCTTCTTTTTTTTTGCTTTTATCATCACGAATGCCGGTCGGTGACGCAACTGACCTTCTTCTTCGCGTCTTTGCTGATAGATGGGGTTGCGATCGGAACTCGAGTCTTGCACAGAGATAATACTACGGTAATACATTATAAAAACGCTGGTACAGTACTCGAAAAAAAATGTGTTGATTTATTACGAAATTAAGTCAGGATGATATGCCAGTCATTTAATGCATTACAGCGGGTGCCAAGGTTTTTCTCTTCTTTATAGCAATGACGATACTATATGACTCGTATCACTGCTGGTTTTCTTTTATTATTTGATCAGTGGTTCTGTCATTATTTTACTTCTAGATTCACTCTTCCTAGTTAATCTTCTTTCTTTATGAATTGCGTGGCTCTCAGCAGTCGGCTAGCTGTAAGGACATTTTCCATTATTTTTGGAAACATCACTTAACCATATCACAAATATTTTACAGTGTTCCATTCATTGACATTTTGTAAGAATTGCTTCCAAATGGAATGGAGCAGATCCATAGATGTAATTTGTCGTCAGGGGGTTTAAATACATTGCCTAATTATGATAAGCGTACTACAGTGAAGTTTATTTCGCCAATTTTAAAGACTAGGACTATCTAACTCGAACAATTGTTCAGGCTATCAGGAGCGATTGGAGTGACCCCTACACCTCAACGATGAACTATATTGCCTATGTTACCTGTCGGCTAATCGAGGTCGCTGCAAAATTACCTATAGTCCAATCTTTTCAAAGGAATTTCACGGGAACGAAAAAAACATTTTTAATGGGGAAACTAAGCATGTTCGTTAAAGGGAAAGGAAGAAGAATTAAAGGATATATTAATTGTTGGTATTCTGTGTTTTGAATTGATTCTTGCAATTCAAGTCGATTTTTCACTTTCTTTCGAAATACTTCCGGACAGTTTTTTTTTCTTTTTTCTTTTCTGTGCCAGTACAATAACCAAAAATCATCCACAATATCCGAGTTATGGATGTTTTCGGAGAAAATCATCCAAGACCAGAAATGCATTTAATTGCATTGTTTCCAATTATGTAGGGAATCACGTATGAAGACTTGCAGAAATTCGACTGTGTCACAGTATTTCGGAACTCTGTTCAAGCACCTGCCCTGCAGTACTCATAACTTTGCCGCATTTTGTGTCCCGTCATATTATTAAAAAAAAGAGTATCCTCGACAATGCACACACACGTGTGCCATTGCTGCTTGACATACCGGCGGTATATTAGTGTCATATACTGTATTATTCATCGATGGCATCAACATTGTGAAAATGGAAAATTTGTTGCAAATTTGATCTTCACCAATCTTTCCGGAAAGGCAATAGGCAAAATTCCATCGCATCCGAATCTTTCGTTGATTAATTTCAGTATGAAAAACGAGCAGGACAACAAACGCTGAATACAGCGTCCTCTATGAGTGCGGAGGTGAAACAACTTTCTCTGACTTGAAGCTTCTTCCCAAAACGAGTCACTCTTGTCGGCCTCAGAGGGTCTCCTGAAGTTTTTCCCTGATATAAAATACAGTTGCGTTATTCTCTCCTTTTTTCTTTATTTTTTTTTTGGATCTGCTGATGATGGTCTGGGGATAAGTACAAGTGCACAGAGGGTGAAGATTTTTCCTCCCAGTGGCGGGAAAAAGAGGCAAGAAGCTTGTACAGCTATAGTACAAAGCTTTTTCTTTGTTTTGCCTGCTCAAGTTCTTGCTGCTGCTTGACTTTCGGTAGAGAGGGGATCGAGTAGGAGGAGGAGAAGAGGGGGGGGGGTTTGCTGGTATGGAGTAGAATAGTTCAAGTGGAATGGTGGTGGTGGTGGTGGTGGTGATGCTGCTGGTGCTGAGCTCCAGAGGTTGTATAGCATCGTTTCGTCCATTAAGAGCCCATGGGCGGCTTTTTCGGCCGGACACAAAAAAGGCCTCCCCCGCGAAAAGGGAAATTATGTTCGGAGGAAGCGAGGAATTTGAGTGGGGCCTTGCTTGCTTGCTTTGCGGAGTGAGTGAGTGAGTCAGTGAGTGAGTGTGCGTGCGTGTGTGTGTGTGTGTGTGAGATCCGGTTGATTGCCAGCTATGCGATAATTTGCCTGCTATATACCTGCCGAGAGAGAGAGAGAGAGAAAAAAAAGAGACGACCCCCTCTGCTCGGACGTTTTGTTTCTTCCTCCCCCCCTGCAAAAGAGGAGAGAGAAACAAAGGCATTTTTTCTTTACTTTTCCCGGATCGCCGGAAGCGAACCCGGGGCTCTGATGCTATTCTTTTGCCTACATCACCTGATGCTGACCGCCGGCCGGGGGAAGAAAAAAAAAAAGGAAGGAAGGAAATGAAGACGGTTTCCCCTGTGTAGTGTTTGGCTCGTCTTTGATGGTTGTGGAACAACGCAGTCACACTCATTCACTCTTGTAGTCTTGTGTTACTCTATAATAGTGAGTTGTGGTGACATCTGGCGGAGAGACTAAAAGGTCCCTCTCGATGCTTGCATTAACATTCAAAACCATCAGCAGCAAATAAAACGAAGCTAAATCGTAAGAGACAGAAAATCGAATGTAAAAATTTTAAAATGCAGTGTGCATAGTTTTCGAGGCGGGGGGGGGGGGGGGATAATGTGGGCAAAACCAGACATTTTAGTAAAATTTGAAATTCCCCAATAATCATCAAGAATCTTGGGAAAATCAGGAAATTAGGTGTATAAGGAAAAAAAAAATTTTGAGTGTGCAGAAGTGCTCTTGGGACTGTCTCAAATTGGCCCTGTCTTGAATTTTCTGTCTCAATTTTTTTAGTATCAAATCATTGTTCTGGAGTTTTCCATATGCCTTGTGGGACCCTGAAGTAGCTCCCTAATATTAAGTGGTCTGCAAAAGTTTTTTCTGGTCTGCAGGAAATTTTCTTCAGCATGATAAATTCATCAATTATAGAATTGAAGTCTGCTATGATTTTTACCTGAAATTTTAAAAAGATCATGGGAGTTGAAATTATCTGATGAAAAGGAAAAGTTTGCTTTTCTCCAAATAACCCTCTGGACAAATCTTCACAAACCAAAATGAATCATTTTATGCACATTCATTCTATGAAACCTTTCTTGAAGCCTGGCTTTCTTATTTTTTGAAGACATTTCAATGTAGTAGCTTCCTTTTTTCTTAACTAAATTGTCAAAGTTTTGGTTTGAGCAAGTATTCAAGCAATTTCTGCCAGAATTGTCTGCAAAAATAAAAATAAAATTTTTCCAGTCTGTAAGCCCAAAATGGTTGCAGAACACTGTTTTTTTTCTACTGGCTTTTCACAGGGAATCTCTGGTTTTTCAAGAAGAATATTAATGAGTGAATTTAATTCAGGGGACGTTTTTTCCTGGAATGTCATTTTCAAGACACAGGAAGGATATACAGTTCTGTATCCATAAAGGGATGCAATAAAACAGCAGTGTGCATCAACAAAATCTTGAGTGCAAATTTTGATGCGTTAAAAAGCTTATAGAATAAACTTCAATGTGAAATTTCAGACATAAGTTTTTCAATGTAGGTAATCATAAAAAGCAATGCTTCAGACAAAGGAATTTAATGTTATAATACTGTAAATTATATACAAACTTGAAGACGAAATATTGAAGCAAAAATATATTTTTTATAAATTGACTATCAAGAAAAATGGCAAAAAGGAAGCCACGCTTTAAGCTGAAG